ATTTAAGTTTGTCCTCTATTTATCTCATTATTTGTATGAAGTAATGTTATTCACAGCCATATTGTGCTGAAATACTCCTTCGCGTCTTTGAAAGCTTTTATTTTTATTCTTTGAACTTTTCTTGTGTCTGCTTTCTCATCAGGAATGGTCACACAAAACAGGATTTGAGTCGAATACTCATAAAAAGCAGGGTTTGTTCTTGTTAGAGAAGAAGCTGAGAAGAAGCCAGGAAGAAGCTTTGATTTTCTATTTCTTTTGTGTGGTGAGGTAAGAGAAAGGTGAATGGGTTTTTCATATTTGAGCAAAACACTTCTATACAGGGCAGAACTAAAATGTACATCAGGTTGCACTGGAACTCAGTAAAGGCATGAAATGATTCCCTGAAACATTTCAGCAACTGTTTTCATGCAGCAAATATATTTGAGAAAACTGAGTTGGAAAGGAAAGGGCCAGGATAAGATTTGTGGAGAAGGCTGTTCTTTCAGCTCCGGATTTTTGCCTGGAACTTGTATTCACAATACCTGCTGGTATTTTCTCATTCAGGTTCTTCTGGAAGCCCAGGAGTATATCCTTCTTTCTACATGGATGTGAGAAAGCCAGGAGCAGAGAGGATGATACCTCCAACCTGCCGTTAGCAGTGGCACAGGATGGTGAGCAGAAGCTGTGCTTCATAGACATAAATTTCACAACTCGCAGATGGTATTGGACATCAGGGAATGGCAGTATTCATCTTATAGAAGAAATAATATTAGATAGTATCTGTCACAAACGCTTTTTGATGGGAAGTTTTAATTTTGGTACTGAATTGGTGAATGAAATTAAATTCTCAGTTTATGTAGCTGTGACTGCCAGAGCTGCTTCAATTGAAATGGTTTATCAAAAACTTTTATTATTGATCCAAAGCTTCATGGAGGCAAAATGCAAGAAGGTGATTTGTGTGTGTTAGTGAATTTATGTGTGGTACTCCCTGCATTTTCATGCATTTGCATTTTCACATGGAAGAGGAAACCCTTTTATTCTGATCTGTGTATGACTTATGAACATGGGCAAGCACTGGGTAGGATTTTTTATTTCCTTTGTATTAGAGATGGTGATAATGAAAGGAAAGCAACCATCTGTACCAGAAGACCTCATGCTTGCAAGAGTAGCTTAAACGTCATATGTGATGTTTGCTTAAACACAGAGAAAGTTACTTAGAGCTTTAGGAAAACAGAAAGCACATGCTTCTTTGCTAAGGGGGTGTGTTCCATTTGTGAATCACAGCTTTCAGTTTCCTATTGCATGAGGGGTAAACAAGGAAATTTCCTTCTAGTTCTCCATAAATCCTTCATCTTATATTTCTTCCTTAGAAAGTCTGTTTTCAAAAGTACAGCAAGGTGTAACTCACCACTGACACTGAGTGGCAGTAGGGTTTCCATTGTGTAGTGCAGCACTGTTGGTTAGGCTTGAGAAAGGTGTGCAAACAGCTTATCTAGTGTAGGTGTAACACATGGGGCTTCCACTGTTATTTTCACAGATCTCTTGTGCTGAGTGCTGCCCTTCCTCTTGCTAGTTTTGCTGCTGAGTGAGCAAACAACAAGTAGTTTTCTGGTTTGCACACAAGGCAACATTCTTGAATATAATGCATCTTATTGGTATGTTCCCAGTACACAAGAACATGGAAATATCCTCTGGTTTCCATTCTCACGTGTGCCATATGAAAATCTGAATAACATCTTATCAAAGTCAGTATTTTCTTCCCTGTTTTTCCTAAACAGCTTGCATTCCTCATCTCATGAAAACAATCTGCATTGTACATAAATATTTATTGTGTGGCACTGATGAGAATGCTTACAAAACCCAGTGTCAGCTCGATGTTTGCCAGTGGTAAGAGACACACTAGAGTTATTTGTACCCAGGGCTTTAGGATATACTGCTTGAACAAGAGCCATGCTGGGGTGCCCTACCAGGCAATGAGGACTGAGAAAGCTGGCTTCCTGTTTTTGTTTTGCTGGAGAAGGCAGTGTGAGAGCATCATAGTGCTTTATCTCTCTGTGCTGTCTGCTCTGGATTTATCAGCTCCACAGCCAAATACACGCTGACGTTTAGCACAGCCCCTGACCAGGCCAAGGTGGGGTCCATCAGCTGTCCTGGACTGGCTGAGGGATTGCAGCCTTTCAGAGCTGCACAGCAAGATGATAAAGGGCAGAGCAGGCACTTATGGCTATCTGAAAGGGAATTAGAGAGCTGCTTCATACTGCTTGATTTTTAAAAGCCTTGTGTCATTGCTTATATCAGCACTAGGAGGAGATAAATTGTACTGTATTGAAACATTCTCCACTCCTCTTGGAAACAGCTATAGCAAGGACAAGTAGCAGGACACAATGTCCATTTGAATTCTGTTCAAAAGAAAATAGTCAACATATGTTTCCTATCCTTTTTTTAGAAGACCTGTTTCTCAGAATCTTAGTGAATAGACTTTTTTTTTTTCCCCTTGAAAATCTGTAATGGTTTAATAATTCAGGCAGAACAAATGTGTTAAAAATAAAATCCTCCAAGAATTTTTGTATAGTAAAATGGTTTTATTGTAAAACCTCTAATTAAAAAAGAAAAAAAAAATCTTTTCTATCATCAGGCCATAAATACTATACTTAAAGTATTTAAATACTGTATTAATGGCCATTGCAATTGCAGTTGTTCCTTACAGAATAGCTACTTGGGCTTTGTGAATGATATTTTTAAATTGGAGGGTGAAATATTCCTTTTAGTCAATCCCTTTTTAGATAATTAGGCAAAAAATCCGAATGTTCTGCTTGTGTTTTTTCACAGATGGGGTGACATAAGGTAGCTTCTGCCACTGTGGGTATTTCAAGCATGATGCATCTGAGAACTGGGAGGTCTGTGCTACAAAGAGCATGGAAAGGAGACAATGTCAGTATGCAAATGAAGGTTTACAAAAGGAAGACCTAGCTGGGTTGACTTTGCACTTCACAGGTACTAATTAGCACAATTAGCATTTTCCCCAATAAAATTAAGACCTGAAAGGATGCTGATAAAACACCCAGATCTTCTTTCCTAAATTGAATTGTGCTATGGCCTTCTCTTACTTGCTTCTCTTTTCTGTATACAATAAGCTGTCTTCTGGAGGTGCAGAGTGAGATTTTCTCTAGGATTTAGGCAACGTTGCACTTGTGTTCTGAACCCAGATTTGCTTGCAGAGAAGTGAGTGTAAGATGAGAGCTGAATGTTGCTTTAAGGCTGGCTCTAGCTTCTCTAGTCTGAAAGCAAGTAAAGCCAGATGGCAGAGGTCAATATTTCAGAGTCAACCCATTATTCCTTGGGTTGGTATTTTCTGGGTCTTCTACACACAGACCTGGACATACTTAACTTTGAGAAATCCAGAATGATTTCAGATGAGGATGTAACAATACTGTACATCCTAATCTGTCTGAGCCTTATGTGATAAAGGAGATAAACAAAAGTATGTGTTGCATCAGGTTTGTATGAAGGAAGATGTAGTCCAACACAAGACTGCTATGTGGGAAGAGCACCTTCTTACCTTGCAGTCCCATTCCAGGCCCAGACCAGAGGTGGAGAAAATACATGGTCCTGGGCAGGCATGGGGGGAGGGGGGGGGGGCAGGCTAATAGGGATCACTTTCCTTTCTTGGTTGATTTCTCTTAGCCTCACCCACCTTGGATCAAAGATTAATACAATCAGGCCGCTCTCAGAAAAGAGCATCCCATCCCCTCATGTTGTCTTCCTGCTGTGCTTGTGCCAGTGGGATGCCCCAGCTGACTGGCTTACCTCTTTTCCCCATGCAGCCTGGTTAAGCCTGATCCCAGTGTGGATGCTGATGGATCCCAATGAGCACTGCTGATTTACCGTGAGCTTCATTACCCAGGGTGGAGAACCATCAATGCTGGCATGTGGTAAACATGTAATTTCTAGGTATTTTCTTCTTTATCTCTTTATCTGTGACCCACTGTAGTACCAGTAATACTGCTTACAACATTGACCCACACAGCCTACAGCAAAAGTCTCAATGGCTGTGTCAATGAAAGGAACTCCGTGATGACTGTGCTTGGCCTCCCTCGGGTTAGAGGCAGCATGTCTCATGTTGTGAGCAAGCTCCTCTGCCCTAATTCAGTTCTTGAGTTTGGTATTAAGTCCTGGAGGATTTTTCATCAATGAAAAGCCCAAAATAATGACTGAGATTTCTAAACAATCTCCTAATTATTGATGCATTGCTTAGATAAACATCTCTTTCCTGTAGAAAAACAGTCTTGTCCCACTTGCCTTGAAAAGTTGTTCCTTCTTGCAGTCTCTGTAAATACCCTCTTTCATGGCTTCCTTTGCCTGGAATTGCATTGAAATGAGAACCAATAATAGGCCTCTGTTTCTGCCTTAGTTGCTCTTCCCTCAATCCCTAGAAAACTTGCTTTTCTTGGCATTGCAAGAGAAGCTCCTCTGTTACAGTTTCTCTTGCCACAGTTCAGAAGAGCTGCAGGTCTGGGCTAGTCACACAAGGGATATTTCCAGTAGTACTTGTCAGCTACCTCTGCATCTGTCCAGCATGGTGTCACCACCCTCTCTGTCCTTCCAAGCTGAATCCTCGTGCAGTGAGCACAGCTGAAGGCTGGACTACTTCATCTACCTATGGGTGAGCTATGGTTAACACAGGTTGAACGGGCTGAGCAGGGTATAGCTCAGTTAAATAAAGCAAGGGCTAAGAAGGTGGAGGCTGGGAGCAGAACAGACAAGTTCTGCCACTATGCTCCTCAGAGCAAATCCCTAGAGTGGTACTAGGGAACAAGAACTGTGAGATACACTTCAGCACTCCTGCTACCACACGAGTGGCTGTAGTGCCTGAATAAACTCCAGGTAGAAAGATATGAATTAAGTAGACGTGCAATGTGAAGAATGTTTGCAAGTGGGCTTGAGACTGTGATTTACAACAGTGCCCACTCCCTTTTACAAAAAAAAAAAAAAACAACAAACCCATACAGGCTGCTTTTTTGCTAGCTTACCTTTACCTATGTGGGACTCATTCTTTCAATAAAGAGTAAAAACAAGCAATGTTTGTGTCTTTTAAAATGCCCTCACTATTTCTGGATTTCTTCAAGTTAAATATGTCCAGATGGGTGTGTAGAAGACCCAGAAAATGCTTTGAATCAGTGCTCTTTCATTATAATTGCAGAGAGTTCTCTCTTATAATTTAATGCATTAAACCCACAGCAAACCAAATCCTTCTCTTTTTAAGTTAGGAAGCCTGTAAAACTCCATGCGAAGCTTTGGTACAGAGTCTCTTGGCCAGTACAGCTGAAGGAAGGTTGATTGTGTATGAAATTCCAGCCTGGAGGAAAAGTTGTAACAGTAAGCATTTGAGTGATTCCACGTGGATCTCTCCCACACTGATACAAAATATTAAAACACCAGCCTGCACCAGAAATCATTCTGATACTTGTAATCATCCTCTAGGGAGAAGGAATACACTATAGTGAGAATCCTCCCAGCAGGCTCAAACAGCTTGATACTAGGAAACCCGTGAGTCACAGCAACGTTAGGCAAATTGGTTTAATCGTTCAGTCGAAGGGCTTTCAAATAGCAGTGCTTACCCATGAGATTCCTGGTGTTCTGAAGTCCCCACATTTATTTGGAAGCTACTGGTATCACAGCAGTTTGATGTCGTCATTCTCTGAGTTTTTAAAGACACCTGTAGAATTTCAGACCAAATTTTTTTAAAATAACTTTCAAGAGGGAACACCTATCTACATGAAAGTCTGTCATAACAGTGAGCATCCCCACCAGATTTTACCACATTTGTACAATCTGCAATTTCACATTACCTTGTTTGTGCTGTGTCTAAGTTAAGCAAATTGTTATTTCTAGACCTGCCTGTCAAATGAAGGAGCTATAAATTGGGGTTCAGTTTGCCTAGGTCTGGACAGACTGGCAGCAGGAGAGCTAGGTATTTCTAGGTCTGTGGCCCAAAAAGTGGTGGCCTATAAGCCAGGAACATTTTCTTCATGCTTGGAGACAGGTAGCTGCAGTAATCACAGCTCAGCTCTGATGAGAAGGCAGGCTGCTGCATTTTTGCTTTATCCGGCAGGCAGGCCTATCTCAGCACAAACAAGTGACACAGGCAGCAGGACTTACAAGGAATGCTGAACAAAAGCCAGGGTTGGTTTAACTTAGAGGAGAGGTGACTCAGGGGTCATACGATCCCTTTTCATGTAATTACAAGAGTGCTTCAGGAGAGAAAGGTGTAATCTCTTCTTTCTGTCCATTGTGGATAAGATAGAAGCAGCAGGCTGAAATTACAGGAAGGGAAATTTAGATTAGATGTTTTCCACTTGTTAAGACAGTGAAACATTTCAAAAGTTTGCCTGGGAGAAAGTAGGATACCCAGGCCTGGAAGTAATAGATATGGTGATGCATTCACACAGCTGTTATGGGCTACATTAGCATTTATAACCTGTGAAATATGGACCACAGAGTAACATGAGACATGCAGGGTCCATGCAGTGTGAAAGAGCAATAGGAACACAATCTAAAGAAACCCCTCGGTCTCAGCCAGCAGGGATTTGGCAGAGCTCTGCCCTCTGTTCTGGGGGATGATTTAACATGCTGGTGGCAAAACCAGTAAAAATAGCATTTTGTAAAATGTCAACGCTTTGATCAAATGCTGAGTAATGTTGTACTCATGCATTACCATCCCTCCTAATTGCCATCAAGTTCAGAAATGCTAGATGGCTTGTAGCCTTTTCCTTTCTGATTAAAAAAGGTTGGGACATTTTTGTCTTTTCTCCAGACACCTTGTCTAAGATAATGTCAATTTCTGAGAGAAAGTAAGCCCTATTTATACCCTGAGATTTTTACAGTATTTTGATAACAAGCAGCTACTGCCAAGGGCCAGTCCTTTGCCGCTGAAAACCTATGTGAGCCTTCTATGTTTTGAATGACTTCCTGAAACAACCAAGGATGCCTCAGGATTAAATACTGCAATGCAGCTGTGCCTCCTATATGCCATGAAGAAATTGTTGCTGAGATTGGCAGAGACTTGTGAAAGGATGAATGCCATGGCATAACCTGGTCTGGCTGTTTTCCTCATTACGCTCTCTGTGATGTTGAGTCTCAGTGCTTACCAAAGACTTGACAGTTGGTAACCAGGAGCTCTTCCTTCTGCCAGCAAAGAAAATAGAGTCCTCTAGTAGAACTGGCAGAATCTCATAGGTACTGGCTGTGTTGTTGGTGTCGAATCACCAAGAAAACCACGGACTTGTTTGCCTGCTAGCAGGGCATATGAATCACAAGGAACTTCTACCCATGGTGACAAGAAAACACAATGTGAAGTCTCCATTCCTACAGATTCACTCTTTTACCCTACCTCATGCACTCCTATCAGCATTTCCCATCTCCCATTTGTGTCCTGGTGGATACCTCTGGCAGGCAAAAAAAGTGCCTAGATGAGTGGACCACTTGCCAATGCTGACAGCTGCCCAAATGGGTGTCCTTCTCCATGTCTCTCCCTTGGAACTAGCAATAATAAATTGCTGATTTCCATTAACCTAATTTTTCCTGAGACCTCTGTCCTACTTCTTTTTAAATTAGCTAACAGGTTCAAACAATACTACGGGAAGCAGACAGATGAACAAACAGATAACAGGTAGCGTAACCCTGTAAGCTCTTGTTTTCTTAGAAAACAAGGCTAAAACAAGCACTGTTTAATCAAATTGTTTCTGCCTGTAAGTTTGTCAAGTCAGGCTCCCAAGACAAAGCCTGCACCTCAAAAGCCCAGGGGTCGTATCTAGCCAAGTCCTTGAGGGGACACATAGGGTATAAAATCCCTGCCCCAGCGGGTCTGATTGAATCCTCATTGATGCAGTTCAGCACTGTTCCCAGTACTGCTTCAGCAGAAAGTGGGCACACGAGATGAGGATACCTTTGTGGCTGAAGGATGGGACTGAGTTCAAAAGGATTGGGGTTGGTCCCTGTCTGTGGTGGTGCCTTCTTTTGGGACTAGAGGGAGAAGCTAAGGTGGTGGGTTGAAAGATAGGGCAAGGGGGAATATCAGAATCTCAGTACAAAGTATTGCCTTCCAGAACACCTTTATTAGCCTCCTTGTCCTGTGATTTGGAGCAAAACACTGGCTTTTAAGAAAACATCACTGGGATTGAACTGGGCATTTTTTGTGTAAGGAGCAATGCTTAGAAACCATTTTATACATTTGATCTCTCCCACAGGGTAAACAGTAGTTATATTAATAGTTTTGGGTGGTCTGTACTGTACCTTATTTACTGCAATACGCTCTGGTCTTTGTAAGCATTCCACCGTGTTTCTCTTAAGAATGGCTTTCATTCTGCAGTCCAAGGATATGAGTTTTCCCCATAGTTTTCCAGTCTGTCACTGCAATATCATTTGAATTACATAGTGCCACCGTAAGTATGACTCCAGTCCACGTGGGGCATTTCTGACTGGTGTTTTGTCTCAACATCTTTAGAAAAGATCTTGGTAGCTTGAGATTCATTAGTCATAGGCAACAGGTTTTGTGGCACACACACTAGCATCACCCAGACCTTCTACAGGCTTTGAAGTATAGGAGAACCCATGCTCGTGGTGGCCATTAAGATCAATTAAGTTAATCTGTTCACTTCTACTACCTTCCTTTACTGCACCTCCAGCCACACACACACTGGCCAAAGTAAATTGCTGGAATCTATGCCCAACCACTGCCAATTCTTGTAAGGTATTCCTTGGATCCTATAGATGTCATGGCTTTATTGAATTCAAACATGGCTTTCTAAAGATCAAAAAAGAGAGGACCTTTGGCAATCTCTTTTTGCAAGGTTACCTCAGTGCACACAGCACAATGCTTCTTTCCATGTGTCTGAATGTTTTATATCCAGAAGACAAGGTCTTGGTCAAGGTACCTGCAAATCCTCAGGGTGTATCAAGTGCAGCTGTATGGCTTGAGATGCAGCGATTGCCTTTGCAATGTTCACATTGCATTCCAAAAATGCATTCCCTGCAAGAAATGCAGGGAGGATGCAGGAAATGCACAAAGGATTCCTGTCATACCACCAGATGATACAGTAGTTTTGTGTCATCATAAACCAGCAGTATTTGTTTTCATTTGAGATCAAAGCTATTATTTAAGCAAGTCCATTATTTAAGCAAGTCATTTTAGCTATAATCACATACCCATTATTGCAAGTAGAAAGGTTTTCCATTGTTCTCTTGGCTGTACTAACCTAGGGTGCAAATCTGTCTGCTTCCCATGGGTGTGTTTAAGGAACTGCTGTGTGAAGAACTGATTTTCTTTGGAAAAGCTGAACCTTAGTATTTTACCTACAAAAACCAGTCATCTGTTGGTATCAGGTGAGCTACTAACACATTGACAAACACTGACTTGCAAAAACAGACAAAACTCTCTCATCCAATTCAGACAATCCCCTCAAATCCAAGATATGAGTCAGGTTTATTAACCTGAGGTCACTGACTGAAAGGTGCTCCCCATTCAAACAAGAGGAAGGAGGGACAAACCTGAGTGCTCAGAATATCATTCTTTTCCACCCAGTTCCAACAGCTCAAGCTCAGGCAATGTGGAGAAATGCAGTCCCTCCTTGAGGACTCAGTTCAGCAAATCTTGTTCCTGAGGCAGCTGGGGATTGTGGATGCGGTAAATGCACTGGAGCTCATGCTTCTGCACTGTGCTTGACCAGCATCTAAAAATGTGAATGCGAAACTGGCATATTTGGGGTCCAGTTTTATAAAGCAGTGTGTGCCTGCCTTATTTCATGTAAGTGACTGTCTTCAGTGGGACTGAACCATGTGTTTAATAGGGACTGAGAGGTGCCAAACTGAAAGACATCTGGTTTATTGCCAAGCAAAGAGCAGTTTTCTCATATTGACTGTAACACTCACTTGCATCTGTGCCCTGATCATGTCATTTAGCTTCTCTACCTTGGTTGTTTTGCCTGAGAAGTCAGATTGCTAGGGTTTGCCTTTTTGACAGGAGGTGTAGGAGGATTAACTCATGAGTGTGCGTCCTGGTCTTCAGAGAAGTCTGTCAGCATGGAAAGCTATAATTAAGAATTGTTCGTCCTGCATTTGAAATTACTTGCACAACAGCCTTATCCTGAGCACAGTCAACTGCCACTACTGCTTAAAACAATAAAAGTTGAGTGTGCTTAGCAGAATCAAAATCAGACTAAAAATTTACATCTAAGACAGCCATTGGAAATCCAAAGTTTGGGAAGAACCTAACGCTTTTAGAACCAAGGGAACTCCAAAGGCTAAAGCAGTCAGTGATAGCTTTCCACCCCCTCCAGCAGGCTTTGAACAAAACTTGTATCTCCCACAACTGTCTCAGATAGTTATCACTTCATCACCGTACATTCCTCATCATCTTCTGCCTTTCTCAGGAAATAGGAATCCAGCAAGCTCTTCAAGCCTGGAGACAAGTCTTCCTGACATCAAGGAAAGGCAGAAAGCAGCATGTTGCTTCAGGACCAGCTATCAAAAGCCTACCATCCTCATTTAAAAACGTAAATAGAAAAGAACTGTGGAGGATCGTAACATTTACTTGTGAGACTGAGTGGCTTTTCCCCTTTGGGCTGAATATGGACTTGGATTTGACCTTGAGATAGCTCCAGAGCTGTAAAGCTGGTTTGATGGAGTTGTAAAAAGTCAGTATGATACTGACGGAAAAAACATCAAGCTTTTGGAAACAGAATAAAGGATTTTTGGATTTGTGGGACTTAGAAGCAGCACATCAGTACACACAGCAGCACACAGTTCACCTGTAGATGCTGGATCCACATGGGAGATGGTGAGTGATAGGGTGTGAGAAATGACAGGCAATTCCCACCAATGCCCTTGGCTGTTTAGATAAAACCAGCTTTGCAGGAGATGGGATCTCCATGCTAGAGTATTGTATTGTCAGTTTCATGGCTTCTGCATTCCTCTTGAGGATTTCCTACAAGTAAGGGGGAGAAAAGAGATGGATGCTATATAGCCTGCTAGCCTGGTTTTTAGTACAGTTACCTAAAGCACGCAGGAAGATGTATGGAAATGGTGAAAACTAATGCCAAGGGCTATAGCACAGGAGCAAGCAGGAGCTGTTTTATCCAGTTGCTGATGGAAAAATAAGGCTGAGGTAAAGGCTGGTGGGGGCAAAAGTGATAGCAGCAATTTCTTTGGGGGAAAAACTGTAAAAAAAAAAAAAGCTGAAATGGAAAATGATGCTTCTTGCCTAGAGCATTCTGTCTGCACAGGGTGGGCCTGGCTAGATGTGGCATTTGGCACAACT